ATTACACAGGGACCAGAGCTAAAACAGAGTGGGCGGTATGCTAACTGTGCGGGCGTGAGGACAGAATTCAGATTCCTGGCATCCACTTAAGCGGATGGGGGGAGCAGAAGGGGGTAGATGTCTGTCATCTCAGCCCTGGGGAGGGAAGACAAGAGACCCCTGCACCCAAAGTCCACCCGGCATCCACATACTTGTATAAAGTACCAACACATACACACACATTGTCATATTCCCCCAAAACCAATTACCATAGAGCTAGGGGTATCCTGGCTCCTGATTTCAGTTCTCAGCACCCCATATAAATTCATAATTGTAACATAAGTAACGATTAATTTTTGACACCTGACTTTACATTGACTAAAGTAAATTACTGTGCTTTCAAAACTGGCAAGGGGCGAGATCAAAAGATACCCCTATTGTTATCTGCCCTCCCGTCGTTGAATCAGAAAGTAAAGAGTTTCCCCTAAAGTCCACAATTTGTAGGGGAAACTTGGTGAGGACAGCTGCCCACCCCAGTCTGCCTGAATCTGGACTGTTTGCACAGTGGCCTCTGCTCCTTGGAGTCTGAGGAAGCGATGATTTCGCTTGTTACTAGAGTCCCCATAGGGTAAGCTGGTGATACTCCCTGAAGGGTATACAGGGGCTGAATACAGCAAGTCCCTCCTACGAGCCGTTAATAGCAATAGCCGGGTGTGGTGATAGACGTCCGCAATCTCAGCACTCCAAAGAGTGGGAAGCGGGATCACCGGTTCCAGGCCTGATACACCTGCCCTTTTATTAGCCGGCTCTCCCGCTTTGTTATTAGAACAGACATAGGGTGGTGCAAAGAGGATCGTGGAAAGATTCCTGTCCCCGGCGGCACTTTATTTAGATTAGCCCTCCCCAGCCGGGTAGCGGTGCGGGATGGCTTTGCTTCCTAAGCCAGCTCTTTCTTGCTCTACCCCCTTTATTCTTTCAGTGTCTTTTGTCCTTTTCATAAGCAGTGTGCACCAGAGATCACATATCAGTCAGTCCTGGACACCCTCAAGCATCAGTCCTTGCCTTCTTTCTTCCTTGAGGCAGCACGGCATGTTCGCATGTTCGTACTGGACCCTGGAGCCTCCAGGGATGCCAGTGTCTTGGACACCCGTCTCATGTAGTCCACTGGGATACAAATGCATAGCGTTGCCTCGGGCAGAAAGTAGATTGTGGGGGTCCAAACTCATGGATCTACCCCTTTAAAAAATTAACAAAACAAAAATTCTGTTTCCTCTGTCAAACCCTGTAAAGAAAGTTCTTTGGTGACAGTGGCTCTCCCTAGCTTCGCTGTGACTCAGGCTTCTCACTCCTGGATTAATGTGTCTGAGAAGCTGTTGACTGTCTTCTTACGGATCTGAGCAGGATTGTCACATGTTTTTCAGTGTGTAAAAGAGGTTTGTATAAAAACAGCCTTGAGTTTCTCTCAAGCAATTTTAAAAAGTTCCTAAGAACACTTCCTCCTTTAGAAAGTATTGGTAAATCACTACACATTAGAGACATAACTGAATATATATTGAATAATATATACAGTACATATTACAAATAATGTATGTGAATATATTCAATCATGCTTTTCAGTTCCCTACTAGTATGATTTGAAAGAATTTTATAGAAGATTTTTATTTCTACATATAACTTTTATATCTCATGTTTTGGGGACAGGGTCTCATTATGTAGTCCTAATTGACCTGGAACTGGCTATGTGGGACAGTTTGGCCTCAAACTGAAGAGATCACCCTCAAAATATTCACTGTTGTGAGCCAGAGTTCATGCAGAGAATTTCCGTTTCTCTAGGGAGAACCCCTAGACTAGCAGTGTGGCAGAATATTTGTTTAATTGTGCAAAAATGTGCTGCATTTGTTTAACTATGTAAAGATGTGTTGCTGTTTTAACTTGCCTGCCTAAGGTATCTGATTGGTCTACTAAAAAGCTTAATGGCCAATAGTGAGAGGGGAGGTGTAGGCGGAGCTTCCAGGCAGAGAGTAAGAAAAAGGAGGAATTTAGGCTCAGGGAAGGAGAGAGAGAGAGAGAGAGAGAGAGAGAGAGAGAGAGAGAGAGAGAAAGGGAAAGAACAGGTAGGGAAACAACAGGTAGACATTAGCGGCCAGCCAGGCAGGCACAGAGGAAGCAGGAGAGTAGAATACAGAATGAAAGTTAAAAAGCCCCGAGGGGAAACATAGGTGAATAGAAATAGGTTAAATTAACTTAAGAGAGCCTAAACTAAGTTAAGACAAGCCTAAACTAAGGCCAAGCATTCATAATTGATAATAAACTTTCGTGTCTTTCTTTGGGAGCCGCTTGGCACCCTCCCCCCAAAAAAATCGCAACTAATGGTTCTCAACATGTGGGTCGCTGCCCCTTTTGTGGGTTGAACGACCATTTCAAAGTTATCCCATATTAGATACCTGCATATCAGATATTTACATTATGACTCATAACTAGCAAAATATCACAGCAGTAATTAAAATAATTCCATGGTTTAGGGGTCACCACAAAATGAGGCGTTGTATTAAAAGGTCACTGCCTTGGGAAGGTTGAGAATCTAAGGCACCTGGGCAGCACTGTGAAGAAGGGCTGTGAGGAACTTTTTCATACGGGTTACTGACCTTTGAGTCCTGACCCGCGCCACACCCATCCACAGTAAGCAAGTAAGAGAGCCAAATCGAAATTTGAAGTCAGAAATGGTGTATGCATTGTGGCCATGTTGGGAAGAGAGCCAAAGAGATCCAGCAGAGCCCTCAAGACTGCCTCTTTTGAGTCCTGAAGCAAGATTAAAATTTAAATCAAGGTCCAAGGACATGCACGTGTGTGTGCATGCGCTTGTGTGAGCAGTTCCATGTGTGTGTGCGTGTGTTTGTGTGTGTTTGTGTGTGTGTGTATGTGTGTGAGCAGTCCCGTCAAACTGTGATCCCGCCCACCACTGGTCCATCATTGTCTAGGCTTCAGTCTTGTCCTCGAGACGGTCTGACAAGCTGTGTGAGATCCCCTAAAGCCAAGACCCCCTCTGATTGGACAAGACCCTTTCCTTGTCCCAGCATGAGAGTCCTGTGGTCCATTGTTTGAATATTCTGATAATCCTGATAGACTCAGATGTCTCTTCTTTCTGCCAGGCCTGTGATAAACTGTGAGGGTCAAATTTGGGGCCCTCATGCAATGCAAGCATTGTACCCCAGCCTCTAGAGTGGTGTCTTAAGTCCACCACACAGACCCTTCTTCCTTGGGACTCTTATTTCTGGAGGGAATTTCCCTAAATGTGAATGAGACCATGTTAATCTTTTGTATTAGCGATCTTCTCCTGGATGTCGGGTTAAATGCAAAACTTCCCAGCACTGAATTGGTGAGCTAGTCTATGTGGAAAGAAACAGCTCTCACCGCAAATGGTTTATTCTGGAGCAACTGCGAGTGACTGTGGCGTGGGACACCATAATAGAATGTTCTAGTATAGAAATGTTTTATAATAACAGAAGAAAGTTACAAATCAAGACGTTAAAAAAATACAGTGTCGGGGACATCACAGAGAAGGGTTTCAGTAAGACAAGGGCATCGCCTATGAGTTTCAAATGCTTTCGGATGGCTTTCTTAGCCTTTGGGTGATGGAAGCCAGTAGTAGGCTAAATTGATACATTCCGAAAGGTTTTTATTATCTGTCAGTCTCAGAAGTGGGAAAGGAATGGCTGTTTAGGGGGCTGATGATGGTCCAGGCTCTGGATCTGCAGCATTCCAGCCTCTCCACATCGCTGCCTCTCTAATCAGTCTGCAGACCTGGCTCTCCAGGAAGTCTCAGCCACACCTGTGGGGCTTTGTCCACTCGTTTAGTCAGAGGTATTTACTGAATGTTGCTACATGCCTTGTACGTGTATCCCGAGAGAGACAGATGGCACACAAGGACACCAGGACAGATATCAAAGTCAAAGAATGGCCTTGTTGTGAGCAGTATGTAAAAGACGCAGGTTCTGGCCTAGGAAGGGGTGGTTTAGGTCAGAGAAGGTGATTAGGTAGCAGGGCTGAATGGGGAGAAAAAGTCTGGGGACGCCTAGATAGAGGAAGACGGGAGGCAAGACCTTGTGGACCCTTCCGGAAGGCCTGAGTGGCTGGGAGGAAGGAGAGCAGGTGTGTGGGTGAGAACGGTGTTTAGAGAGGGAAGAGAGCATTGGGCGCTCCCGGGCTGTGTGACTCCTCTTGTCTTCAGGGTGCACCCTGACCTCCCATCCCTGTAACTTGTTCTCTTCCAGGAACAGCCTTTCTCTCCATAGTTCCTCTTTAAGGCTTGAACTTTTAGCTTCCTAAGCGTTGTTCCTGTGCCTTTCTCAAATCTCTGTCCCTCTCCTGCTGAGGGTGATGGGTCTCTCTTTGCATCTGCCACCCTGCCTCACATGAAGAGGCATTCAGGGCATGAAATAAGAACAGTACCCTCCTACATGTTTTATCCCATGTCAACAATAACCTCTGAAGGCCCTATGCCACTTTTTAGAGCCCTCTGTGGATCTCCCAGTCTCTGTTGTTCTTCCTGTAGCGAGCCTCTGATATCCTGTATAGAACACGTGCCTGTAGCATTTCTCTTCCCCACTCTGGTGCTGTTCCACTAGACATGATCAGGAAGTATTTGTGCGGAGCCCTTCTGTAGGAGGCTGAGGCACTTGCCTTCCTCCTGGGCGTGTTCTAGTGTTGTGGAGATGGGGAGCTGTTTGGGGGAATTCAGAACTGCATTCTGTGGGAAGGGACTTGAACCCTGGACAAGTAAATTCCACTTATTCCATACACCTGTATCATGCCATTCAGTTCCTAGGGCTTCTTAGGCAGATTTTGGGAAGTACAGAGAGTCGTGGTAGAGTGCTTGCCTAGCAGTCAGGAAGCTCTGGCTTCAGTCCCTATCACCACATAAACCAGTGGTACGAGCCGGTAATACCAGCAGTTAGGAGGCAGAAGCAGGAGGATCAGGAGTTTGAGATCATGATCCACTCTACAGGGAGTTTGCGGCAGCCATGAGCAACCCAAGTGTGTTCTTCAACATTGTGGCTGATGGCAAGCCCGCCATGGTCAACCCAGTCGTGTTCTTCAACACCGTGGCTGATGGCAAGCTCTTGAGCCATGTCTCCTTCCAGCTGTTTGCAGACAAAGTTCCAAGGACAGCAGAGAATGTTCATACTCTGAGCACCAGAGAGAAAGGATTTGTTTTTTTAAGCTTAGTGTTTTTTTAAAGACTTATTTATTTTTATTATGTGTACAACATTCTGCCTTCATGTATGCCCATGCACCAGATCTCATTTCAGAGTGGCATACTAATTATTTTTCAATGGTGGCTCACAGTAATAATGCATATTTATATCAGGAACCAGCACATGTATGTGAATTAACCCAAGTTTCACTAGTGTTTATACATCGTATACTCTAATGTTGGCTGGTTTCTTCTTTTCCAGACATTTGTTATTTGGTGCTGTTACCATTGGTTTCGTTGATTTGTTTTCTAAGCTGTGACAAATATTATGACTATAGAATCTGTCATATTGATGGTGTTCTTTGCCTTACAGAAGTTTCTCAAGTTCAGGAGGTTTCATTTATTAATTGTCGATCTCAGTGTCTGTGCTACTGGTGTTATATTCAGGAAGGGGTCTCCTGTGCCAATGTGTTCAAGGCTATTTCCCACTTTCTCTTCTGTCAGCTTCAGTGTATCTGAATTTATGTTGAGGTCTTTCCTCTACTTGGACTTGAGTTTTGTGTAGGGCGATAGCTTTGAATCTATTTGCATTCTTCTACATACTGCCATCCAGTTGGCGTACGCCAACACCATTTGTTGAAGATGCTTTCTTTTTCGACTGTATGCTTTTGGCTTCTTTGTCAAAAATCAGGTGTTCATAAGTTGTGTGGGTTTATGTCAGGGTCATCGATTTGATTCCATTGGTTCACATGTCTTTTTTTTTTAAATATTTATTTATTGTGTATACAGCATTCATTCCATGTATACCTGCAGGCCAGAAGAGGGCACCAGACCTCATTACAGATGGTTGTGAGCCACCATGTGGTTGCTGGGAATTGAACTCAGGACCTTTGGAAGAGCAGACAATGCTCTTACCCTCGGAGCCATCTCTCCAGCCCCCCACATGTCTGTTTTTATGCCATTACCAAGCTATTTTTATTACTAGAGCTCTGTAGTAGAGCTTGAGATGACGGGTGGTGAGACCTCCTGAAGTTCCTTTATTGTTCCAGGACTGTTTTATCTATTTAGCTATTCTGAGTTTTTTGTTTTGTTTTGTTTTTTTGTTTTTCCAAATGAAGCTGAATATTGTTCTTTCAAGGTCTATGAAGATCTTCACCAAACCCACATCTGACAGAGGATTGCTATCCAAAGTATATAAAGAACTTAAGAAATTAGACATCAAAATACTAAATAATTTCATTAAAAATGGGGTACAGATTTTAACAGAGAATTCTCAACAGGAGAATCTTGAATGGACAAAATATGCTTTAAAAAGTATTCCGCATTCTTAGCTATCAGGGAAATGCAAATCAAAATGACTTTGAGATACTATCTTACACCTGTCTCAATGGCCAAGATTAAAAATATTAATGATAGCCTGTGTTGGAAAGGATGTGGAATAAGGGGAACTCCACTGCTGGTCAGAGTGCAAACTTGTACAGCTACTTTGGAAATCAGTATGACGCTTTCTCAGAAAATTAGGAGTCAGTTCATTCACCTCAAGACCCAGCGATATCACTCTTGGGCATGTACCCAAAGGATGCACAACTATACCCCAAGGACACTTGCTCAGCCATGTTCATAGCAGCATTATTTGTAAGAGCCAGAACCTGAAAACAACCCAGATGCCCTCAACCAAAAAACAGCTAAAGAAAATGTGGTATATCTACACAATGGAGTATAACTCAGCGAAAAAAAAAAAAACCAAAAAACAGTGACATGAAATTTGTAGGCAAATGGATGGAACTAGAAAAAAAAAGTCATCCTGAGTGAGGTAACCCAGATCCAAAACGACAAACATGGTGTGTACTCACTCATAAGTGGATATTAGACATAAAGCAAAGAACCAGGCTACAGTCCTCAGCCCCAGAGAAGCTAGGTAACAAGGAGGACCCTAGGAGGGACACATGGGTCTCCTTGGGAAGAGGAAGTAGAAGGGATGTTCTGGGTTAACTGGGGGTGGGGGAAGTAGAGGGGAGGGATGGGAATGTGAGGGATCAGGATGGTCGAGTTGTGGGCTGGATGAGCAGGAGAGTGATGGGGGAGATACCTTGATAGAGGGGACCTTTGTGGGGTTAGGGAGAAAGCTGGTGCCAGGGAGACTCCTGGGAACCCACAAGGATGACTGCAGCTAAGACTCCTAGTAATATCGGAGAGAATGCCTGAACTGGCCTTCCCCTGTAATCAGATGGGTGGCTGCCCTAGCTGTCATCATAGAGCCTGCATCCAGTCTGATGGAAGCAGATGCAGAGATTCGCAGCCAAGCACCGGGCTGAGCTCCGTGAGTTCCGTTGAAGAGAGGGTGGAGGGGTTATATGAGCAAGGGGGGGGGGGTCAAGACCATGATGGGGAAACCTGCAGAGACAGCTGACCTGAGCTTGTGGGAGCTCTTGGACTCTCGACGGACAGCAACGGAACTGGCATGGGACAGACCTAGGCCCTCTGCACCTTGGTAACAATTGTGTAGCTTGGTCCTTATGGGGCCCCTAGCAGTAGAACCAGGACCTGTTCCTGATGCATGAGCTGGCTCTTTGGAACCTACTTTCTATGGTAGGGATGCCTTGTTCAGCCTTGATACAGTGGGGAGGAGTGTGGTTCTGCCTCTGCTTGATGTGCCATGCTTTGTTGATTCCCATGGGAGGCCTTACCCAATCTGAATGGAGACGGAGGAAAAATGTTGGAGAAAGCTGCTTATTTTGGTCCTGGCCGCCCAGCTAGCTTAGACCCGAAATAATCACATAGAAACTGCATCAGTTAAATCACTGCGTGGTTCATTTGTTCTAGCTTCTTATTTGCTAAGTCTTACATCTTAATTTAACCCATTTCTAGTAATCTGTGTATCTCCAAATGGCAGTGGCTTACTGGCATGTCTGACTCTGGCAGCAGCCTCATGGCTTCTCCCTGACTCCACCTTCCTCCTCCCATGCTATAGACCAAGCCAGTTCTTTATTCATTAACCAATAAAAGCAACACATAGACAGAAGGACCTCCCATACCAGAAAAGTGGGTGGGAGGTGGGGGGGGAGTAGTGGGGGAGAGAGCAGAAGGAGAGGAGGGAGAGAAAAATGTGGTTAGTATGTAAAATAATTTTTTTTAAATGATGGGGAAGAAGAGACTCTTTGATGTTAGAAGGCCGTATGGCTGACATGAAGTCACCTTGTAAGGTAAGGAATGGTTTGGTTTTAATGTGGTAGAGGTGCTGCCAAGCAGACTGCCACCTCCAGCCTTGTGATCTGGGCAGCCTCCATACTCAGATGCTTTGAGTTCTTGTCAGTAGCTGGGAAAGGTTTCAGAAGTGGCACAGTAGTCCCTGGCACATAGCGTGCAGTTAGACATCTAACTGAAGCGGTGGAATGCGTCCCAAGCCTCCGGGGTCCCCTGGTCCCTGGTGATGTCATCTTGCTGACATGGGCTGCCATTTTTCCACTCTAGTTAGTGTGTGCTGGACCCTAGCTGGCAGGGAGACACATCCAGCTCCATGTGCAATGAGAGTTGCATGTCTGTCTCACTCACCTTAGTTTACCTGACACCTCTAAACTCACACACCCACACCCCCCTTCAAAAAGTTTCCTTTACCACCCTCCACACCCCCCTGAGAGGAGACACTCACATACCCTCATTTCACAAAGTTTCCTTTGCCACCGTCTGCCCCCCTGAGAGGAGACACTCCAGGCTGCATTTCCAGACTTAGCTATAGACTGTTCCTGCTTCTAGCAGTGTTACCTGGTCAGAAAGACTTACAACCTGTGGACATTATTTGTAATGCTTGTGTTCTGTTTATTTGTTGGAAGAAGTTGTATTCAGAAAGATAGGTAGATGGGGCCAGTGAGACGGCTTGGCAGAAGGTGTTTGTTGCCAGGTCTGAAGATCTGCCTTAGATCCCCAGTATGCCCACTTGCCAGGCTGGCCCCAGGGCATTGCTCCCATTGAACACTGTTTAGGAGGTAGTAATAAGAGCAACTGGAACTCATCCAATTTCTTTTCCTTGGGATTGCAGTTTTAAAATAACTCGCATTAGAATGAGATTTGCAAAAATAAGTACACATATGATAAGATCCCACAGTCAGGTAAAGGATTTATCCACCATATCCACTGCGAAGTTACCTTACCCCCTTGGTCTCTTCTACCCCTACTCCTGTAGGGGTAGTTACCTTACCCCCTTGGGGTCTCTTCTACCCCTACTCCTGTCTCCAGGCAGCCACTGAGGCAGTGTGTGCCATTGTACGTTTAGTTTATATTGTTCCAGAATTTTCTGAAAAAAATAGAACTGGATCCTTCTCTGCAGTTCTTCTGTGAGCGCCAACAACTTCCTCCCTCCCTCCTTTTCTTCCTGTGCTGCTGATCCAGGTTGGAAGCTGATGCATGCTAGGCAAGCACCCAGCCCCTGCTTAGTTCCTTGTATGGCTAGGATGTGCTGCAAGTTGCTTATCCATTTACCTGTTGATAGGCATTTGAGTTGTTCTCGGTTTTGGAGTATTATGAATAAAGTAGGGATAGTAGTAGAAATGAGCTTTTTTCCCTCCTCTCCTCCTTCTTTTTCTTCTTCCTCTTCCTCCTTCTCCTCCTTCTTCTCCTTTCTCCTCCCCCTGCCTCTGCCTCTCCTCCTCCCTCTCCCCCTCCTTCTTTTTCTTCCCTTCTTATGGGTGTGGAGTCCCCCTTTAATCCTGTCTGCCTTGTCCTCAGAATATTTTTGTTTCCAGAACCCCATGGCCCTTTCTGGGATCGCTCGTGCTCCAAGGTGATCATTTTTTTTTTCTCTAGATTCATTGTCGTAACACGAGAGTTTCTTCTGATTCTTTAGTGAACCTGCTTCTTCCGTTTATCGAGCCTACGTCCTCTTCTGTAGTTCACATTTTAATCAGTATCTCTCACATGCTCATCCTTGAGGGAGTGTCTGGAAGGAAGATGGCAGTTTCTGCCTCAGACACTTTTTTTTACACTTTAGACACTGTATAAGAATCACTGCACCATGGTTTACCAGGGCTGCAGGCTCCGTTCCCAGCTGTCTTAGTATTGTTTAGGGATTTCTCATAACTTTGAGTTCTGTATGTTGGGCTTGGCCATCCACGTGTCTTTGTTCAGCTATGGTTTATAACACATGCCCTTTCTTCTGGTTTTAGGGCTTCAGTTTGGGATGGTACTAGCTTATGACCTAAGTCCTGGTCCTTCAGTCCACGGTCTGGTTTCCTGAGGCAGACTTGTCGTGGCAGCCCCAGGAGAGTGTGATTGCTGATGAGGAAGGAACCTCATGTGTTTTAGGTGCATCCTACCTAAATCCTGCCCTAGGTTACAGCTTGTACCGTGTATGCCAGTCGGTTGTTGAACTGGGGAAGACTGTGTAGGCATGGTGTCGGGGAGGTTCTTGGGAGGACAAGGTGTCTGGGGGCAGTGAGCTGGTGCTGCCAGTGGGGTTTGGTCTTCCACTGGACCTGCGTGGAAGGAGGAGAGCACTGACTCTTCCCAAGTTATCCTCTGATCTCCACATGCACACCCATGCCCCCCACAGATGAAGAAATGTAGTTAAATAGTTGTTAAATTGAGATGTGCTTTGAATACTGTACATAGTATCTTTGAGTTTGAACACAGTGAGTTCCGGACAGCCAGGGCTACACAGTGAGACCGTCTCAAAAATCAAAAAACAAACGAAAACCAAAGTTCATAGGTAAACATTCAAGTGTTTGGTGTTTGTTACCAATTCAGCAATTGGAGAAGCTGAAAAGGAGGGGGACGGACACACACACACACACACACACACACACACACACACACACAGTCTCACTATGTAATTCTGGCTGGCCTCGAGCTCACAGAAATCTGCCTATCTCTGCCTCCCAAGTGCTGAGATCAAAGGTGTGCACCACTGTGTCCCTCTGCATATATTCTTTTTAAAAGTATATTCCTGCTAGTGGGCCGTATTGTAGCTCCACATTTAAATTCCATTTTACAGTTTCAATAGCAATGTCCATTCTGCCCCTTTCCTACACTTGCTACTTTCTATCCTGGGTCTCTCTCCTGGTTTAACATGTATCTGCAGTGACTGATAATGCAGGGCATCTCCTGGTATGCTTGTTAGATAGTAACGATACAGTGATGTATGTGTATCGTTTGGAAGGATGTTTGGTTCCTTGGCCCCCTTTCCCTTGGGTTGTTCACCGAGACAGTTTAGTTCTTCATGTATTGAAGGCCTTGTCACATAGTGACTCACAAATGCTTTTTTCCTTTATGGTGATAGAATTTAAATTTTCTTTAATTTTTTTTAAGAGTTTTATTTTTCTATTACGTGTGCATGTGTATGGGTATGTGTGTCTCTGAGGAGGCCAGAAGAGGGTGTCAGGTCCCTTGGAGCTAGAGTTACAGGTAGCTGTGATCTGCCTGACTTAAGTGCTTGGAACTGAATTCTGGTCACCTGCAAGAACGGCAAGTACTCCTAACTGATGAGCCATCTCTACAGTGCCCATTTTTTTTTAAGTTTTGATGACATATAGTCTGCATCCCTCTTCCTCTGTAGTTACTTGTACATGGTTACAGCTAAGGAAACTGTCTAATCTGAGGTTGCCTGTGGTTCTTCCTGAGAGCTTAGTTTTAGCTCCTAAGTTGAGGTGTTTGGTCCATTTTGAGTTAACCTGTTAGTGATCTTAGGTCAGTCTTTGCATGTAGATGACAATTTGACCCAGCATCCTTGATGGATTGAGTCTTCATGCCTAGACCTTGTGATCCTCCCGATTTAGCCTCCCAAGTATTAGAGTTACAGGCATGTACCACCACTCCTGCTTGAGTCTTAATTATTCTAGGTCCTTGATTTCATTTAACTATCCTGACAGACCTGAGACATGTTTATTGTCACTATATTTTAAGGATTTTTAAAGCTGATTCTTTTTTTAAATATTTATTTACTTATTATGTATACAATATTCTGTCTGTGTGTATGTCTGCAGGCCAGAAGAGGGCACCAGACCCCATTACAGATGGTTGTGAGCCACCATGTGGTTGCCGGGAATTGAACTCAGGACCTTTGGAAGAGCAGGCAATGCTCTTAACCACTGAGCCATCTCTTCAGCCCTGATTCTTTTTTTTTAAGAAGATTTTGTTTTTATTTATTTATTTTTTTAATTATGCATACATATGCATGTCGGAGTGAGTGTGGTTCCCACAGAGTCTGGAAGAGAAGGTTGCATCCCCTAAAGTTGGAGCAGTGAGCCCCCTGGCAGGAGTACTGGGAACCCCACTCCGTTCCTCTGGAAAAGCAGCCACTGGGGGCTCTCTCCAGCCTCATTTAATTTAAACGTTAATAGCTGTCTGTGGTTCTCTTACTGGATGATGGAAACTGAAGTGGGTAGTCCTGGGAAAGAGGTCTGAGTCTCACGTTCGAGTTCTGTGTTCTAGGCTGCAAGGCCCACGAGGATGCCAGCCAGGAGAGGGGTTAAGTGCAGAGACTCTGATGGCCTTGGAGGGAGGGTGTGGCTAAAGACCTGTGGCAGTGAGCTCCTGGAAGCATCTGTTTTTTGTATTCCAGAGTCCCTGCTTGGGATGCTGAGCTATACAATGGAACTCTGCCCTTCAGCGATATGTGAGGGAACGTTAGGGCAGTTTTCAGGGCCTTAGGTCTCCAGTTGTCCCTCTCATGAGTGGGTGGTAGAGGGGACATAGCATCTGAGTCACAGACCATCCGACATGGAGGCGAAACCCCTCGTTAGAACGACTCACCCCATCCTGTTTGTTCTGTGGTTTCTCCAGTTCTGGACTTGAGCGACCCCTTCAGCACTGAGGTGAAGCCCAGAATCCTGCTCATGGGTCTCAGAAGGAGCGGCAAGTCGTCCATACAGAAAGTTGTCTTTCACAAGATGTCCCCGAGTGAGACCCTGTTCCTGGAGAGCACCAACAAGATCTGCCGGGAAGACGTCTCCAACAGCTCCTTTGTCAACTTTCAGATCTGGGACTTCCCAGGGCAGATTGACTTTTTTGACCCGACCTTTGACTACGAGATGATCTTCCGGGGAACAGGGGCGCTGATCTTTGTCATCGACTCCCAGGTACAGACTCTCCACGGGCGGCACCCACCTCCCCACACCCACCCACATCCATTTGCAGTGGTTTTTGTAAAATTGTGCGTGTGTGTCTGTGTGTGTGTGATGTACATACAAATGTGCGTGCAAACTTGCGTTCACCATTGTCCACCTGTATGTGGGGTCAGAGGCTCCAGAGACTCCTTTCCTGCACCTTGTGGGCTCAGAGGATCAAACTCTTGACAGGCCTGAGCCAAGCACCTTTACTTGCTGAGTCATCCTGCTGGCCCAGTGGTTTAGGTTTTTAAATCTGCAGTAGGCCCTTCTATCAAACAAGGATTTCCCAGAGCCCTCAGATTCTGCAGAAAAGGCTCCCTGTCAGTCATAGTCCACACTCACCTAGCCCATAAATAAGGTCATATACCTGGTGCGTTAGTTTGAATGTAATTGGCCCCTGTAAGCTCACAGGGAATGGTGCTGTTGGAAAGAGTGACTTCGTTGAAGTAGGTGTGGCCTTGTTCGAGGAAGTGTGTCACTGCAGAGGCAGGCTGTGAGGTGTCATAGATGCTCAGGCCACACTTAGTCTCTCAGACCACTTCCTATTGCTTGCATATCAAGATGTATGACTCTCAGCTCCTTCTCCAGCTCCATGTCGGTCTGCCTGCTGCCATGTCCCACCATGATGATAATGGATTGAACTTCTGAATTGTAAGGTGCCACCTCAATAAAATGTTTTCCTTTATGAGAGGAAAGGTCCAAGGTCATGGTGTCTCTTCACAGCAGTAGAACCCTAACTAAGAAGCTGGGAAACTTTATAGATGTGGGGCAGATGCCAGATGTGTGGAATGATTACAGGTTCTCTGCAATAAGAGTTTATTTAGGAGGTTACATGTTACAGTATTTGCTATTAAAGTAGATAAAATTCTAAGTGAAAATTTTCTTCTGAATCAAAATATTATTTTTAACTTACTATTTTATCTGTATGGGTGTTTTACCTACATGTATGTCTGCGAACAACCTTTATACCTGGTGCCTGTAGAGGCCTGAAGGAGATGTCAGATATCCTGGAACTGGAGTTACAGACAGCTGTGAGCTGCCATGTGGGTGCTGGGAATTGAACCTGGGTCCTCTGGAAGAGCAGCCAGTGCTCTTAATCACTGCACCATCTCTCTAGCCCTTGGGTCAAATTCTTAGTAGTAGTACACACTTGATTATGATAACTCTTTTGTGCGTTTTGTAGATGACTGTTGAAATGTGAGGTAGGTATCTTGTTTTCTACGGTGCACATCTGTGTTTGAATAACCAGTTCTACATTCGTTCTCTGCTCCTGTAGCTGTGTTCACATAGATAACTTGGGGATATAGGGTGAGTTTCGTCATAGCATTTATGCAAGAATTTAAAATCCTTCCAAATTGTGTCTCCTGCATTATCTAGTTTACTGTCATAAAATTATTTTTAGTAGTTTATTAGCAGTTCTACAGTTCTGTGTAGACCTCCTTCAGCTTGGTTGTTAGTGAAGGTTAGGGAGACATTGACTGGTGAGGAGCCCTGTTCCCCAGCCTCCTCTCCAACTGGGGCCTTGCCATTGGGCTCAGTGGGAGGAGGAGGAAGGGAGATCAGGCTGGCCAGCGCTGGGGAGGGTGTGCGAGGTTGGGGCCACGGTGTCTGACACCCTGGTGCAGGCTGGAGGATTTCCTAGGCCTAAAGGGAGCAGCTTCTCTAGGGAACACCTAACCCAGTCCAGGGTGGCGTTCAGAGAGTTCCCTGAAACTCCCGTCCGTCAGCCTTCCAGGATGTGTGTAACACACAAGGAGCATCTTCAGTAAACCCTTGGACTAGGAGGCTGCGCTGTGTGACCAGCTCTGAGAATGGGGTTCAGAGTGCAGGGAGGGGTTCACTCTTCCTTCAGTGAGAGGTCTGTAGAGGAGAGACTCGAATACAGTGCCAGACCCGTGGTGGATTCCTCAGGCCCACCCAGAGCGTGTGCCCAGACCCTTCACACGCCTGGGCTGTCGGGAGCTGCTGTCCTGGCACTCCAGCGTGTACAGACCTGTTTTCTGGCCAGTCTCCCTGTCTGTCTGCCAGCACTGTAAATCAGGGAGCTCGGGGCCCAGGGGAGTGACTAGCGTGTGCATAGTACAGGCCAGGGAACCCTCTTCCCCTGAGTCAGCCCGTGCTGTTTAAGGAGCTGCCTATGAGTAAGCGGATCCCAGCCAGAGCTAAAGATCATTTTCGATGATGACGTGGTAAACACTCAGATACCATACTGTGCTGTGTAGCAGCTCCAGTGCAGATCTAAGGCATTTCTGATATGGCTGTAATTTAGCCCCCAAATAAATATACTTACTTATTTTGACTTTTCATTGTTTAATTTTAATCATGTGTACATGTGTACATGTACTGGTGTGTGGGTCTGCACGTGTGTAGGTCTGCATGTATACATGTGTCCCAGTGTATGGTCTGCATGTATACATGTGTCCCAGTGTATGGTCTGCATGTGTACGTGTCTCAGTATGAGGGTCTGTATGTGTACGTGTCTCAGTGTGAGGGCCTGCGTGTGTATGTGTCTCACTGTGTGGGTCTGCGTGTGTATATGTCTCAGTGTGAGGGTCTGCGTGTGTATATGTCTCAGCATATGGGTTTACATGTGTACATGTCCCAGTGTGAGGGTCTGTGTGTGTACGTGACTCAGTGTGAGGGTCTGCATGTGTACGTGTCTCAGTGTGAGGGTCTGCGTGTGTACGTGTCTCAGTGTGAGGGTCTGCGTGTGTACGTGTCTCACTGTGAGAGTCTGCGTGTGTACGTGTCTCAGTGTGAGGGTCTGCGTGTGTACGTGTCTCAGTGTGAGGGTCTGCGTGTGTACGTGTCTCAGTGTGCGGGTCTGCGTGTGTACGTGTCTCAGTGTGAGGGTCTGCGTGTGTACGTGTCTCAATGTGAGGGCCTGCGTGTGTATGTGTCTCTGTGTGGATCTGCGTGTGTATATGACCCAGTATATGGGTTTACATGTGTACATGTCCCAGTGTGTGGGTCTGTGCACATGAGTGCAGGTTCTTACAAAGACTAGAGGTGTGTGCTCTCCCAGAAGCAGAGTTTTAGGTGGTTATGAGCTGCCCTGCTTAGGTGCTGAACCCGACTCTGGTCCTCTGCAGGAACAGCAGGTGCTCATGACCACCATGCTGTCTCTCCAGCCCAAAGTTGCTTATTTTTAGCTACGCAGTTTTATTTAAACATAAAGCAGGCTTGTCATTTAGGTTGGTAATTGTGTTTCTGGTTTTGTGGTTTTTTAAAATTTACTGCAGGTTACAGGAAAGTCTAATAATGTTTGAGAAAGATCTTCCTTTCTTCTCTTTTCTTCTCTTTCCTCCTGTCTTCCTTCTTCCCTCTCCTTTCCCCTTTTTCATACCTCTTCTTTCTCTGAGACAGGGTCTTACACTGGTGCTCAGGCTGGACTTGAATTCACAGCAGCCTTCCTACCTTAGCCTCTTAGGGAATGCTGGGATTACAGGCATGAGCATTTTGCTCTTTCCTGGCCCCAGACAAGACCTTTCTACATAACCTTGGCTGTCCTGGAACTTGATTTGTAGACCAGGCTGGCCTCAGACTCACAGAGATCTGCCTGCCTCTGCCTCCCAAGTGCTGGGAATAAAGTCATGCACCACCATCCCCAGACTGAAGTAACACTTATTAAAATAACTAGGCTAGGGGCTGGTGAAATGGCTCAGGGGGAAGAGGTGCTCACAGTCAAGCCCGGCTATATGAGTTTGATCGCCAAGATCCACATGGTGGACAGAGAGAATTGACTCCTACAAGTTGCCCTTCCACACACATGTGCATGCACACACACACACATACCCAAAACATATAAATGTAGAAATGATTGATTGGGTGGTCAAGAGTGTTGCTCAGAGCACTAGCCTACTGTGCATAATACCTGGAGTTTGATCCCCCCACACACACAAAGGAAAAACAGTATTGAGTCCTCTTACTAATAATAATGAAGGGGCTTAAGAGGTAGCCCAGCAGTTAAGAGCATTTGCTGCTCTGGCGGAAGACCCAGGTTTGATTCCCAGTACCGACAGAGTGACTTACAACCATCTACAACTCCAGTCCCAGGGAATTCAATGCCCTCTTCTAGATATTGAGGGCACTTCATGCACATGGTACACAGACGTACCTACAGGCATGTCTCACACATATTTATAAGAAATCTTTATAGATTGACTAAGTGGTTTCAGAACCTAATGCTCGTCGGTGGAAGTGTTTGCTGATGTTCCTAGGAGTAAAAAGAGGAAACCTTGACTTCCAGGAAACCCCCTCAATGCACCCATTCTTTTCTTCTCTCTGTCCCCCAGTTCCTCCTTCCTTCCTGTTAAAAAAATAAGCACTATTAAGCATTTCTTCGACAGTTGTTTTTTGACACAGCCTCTCACTATGCTCTGGGTGGCCTGGAACTCTCTGTAGACCAGGCTGGCCCAAGGTTCACAGCGATCCGCCTGCCTCTGTCTCCCAGGCGCTGAGAATAAAGATGTGCACCACCACAACTGGCTACGTTGTTGGTTTGAGGCAACATCTCACTGTGTAGCCCTGGCTAGTCTGGAGCTGTTACCCAGCCTGGCCTCCAACTCAGATTTGCCTGCCACTGTCTCCTAAATGCTGGAATTAAAGGTGTGCCACCAAGCCTGATTTAAGGTTTATTTTTTTTAAAGACGTATTTATTTATTTAATATATATGAGTGCTCTGTCTGCTTCTACGCCTTTATGCCATAAGAGGGCATCAGATCCTACTATAGTTGGTATCGATGATTGTTATTCACCATGTGGTTGCTGGGAATTGAACGCAGGACCTTTGGAAGAGCAGCCAGTGCTCTTAACCATTGAGTCATCTCTCCAGCCTCCTAAGGTTTGTTTTTTAAGTTGTATGTGTGTGATTGTGTGTGTGTGTGTGTGTGTGTGTGTGTGTGAGAGAGAGAGAGAGAGAGAGAGAGAGAGAGAGAGAGAGAGAGAGAGAGAGAGAGTGAGTGCAGGGT